TCTGTCGCTGTAATGTTGTCTCTGTTTCTTGTTCTGTTACTTGTCTGTGTTTGTCTGTTTCTCCGTTTGTCTCTGTTTGTCCCGTTCTCTCTATTTTCTCTGTACTTCTGCATCTCACAAATAAACGCATGTACATATATATTATATATATTATATATATATATATTATATATATATATATATATATATATATATATATATATTATTATATATATAATCCTCGAGCGCGCGTGTCAAAAGCAAATTCAAATTTCCACCTTTTTTCTCACTCTCGCCAAAAGTTCCAAAACTTTCGATATTACGATGACGTTCAACAACACCTGAAATGTCTGTGTACGAACGTTTTCAGCATTTTAATGATATGATCCACACTCACACGCCACACACACGTACATACATGAATGTATAAGTCGAACGTACATATACATATACAAGCATACATGCCTCTGCACATAAACACTCGCAAACACGCACACACACACCCATGAACACAACACACACGAACACACGAAACACACACACACACAACACACACACACACACACACACTATTTCTTAGTTATACTTTAGTTATGAACAAACTGACATTAAGCAAAACAAAAGCAAAACTATAAAAATAAACATACTTTCAAAACTAACATTTTCCTGAACATCGAGGCCCAACAGCCTATCACGTATGGGTAAAAAATAATCAATTTTCTTTTTCTAAGAATCTCTTTTTTCATTTTTCTTTTTTTCATTTATTTATCGACTTACTTTTGTTCATTGATTTATTTAACACTAAGGACAGTTTTCTTTCTTGTATTTTGTGTCTTTCTAATTTGCATAAAGTGTGAAATGTTAGTAGATTGCCCATACTCTTGAGACAAAGAATAGGGAGTGAAAAAAGAAGAGATGAAGAATAATTAAAGAAACGAGACAAAGAAGAGGAAGAATGAGGATGAAGAAGAAGGGCATAGAAGAGGGATTTAAAAAAGAAAGAAACAAAGAAGAGGAAGTGGAGGAGGACGAAAAGGGAGGTGAAGGAGAGAAAAAGAGAAGGAGAAATTGAAAAGGAGGAAGAGGAGGAGTAAAAGATAACGAGGAAGGGGAAAGAGGATGAAGAAAAGGAAGATAGAGAAAAAGAAAAGAGAGAAAGGACATAGGGAAGAGTATAAAGAAAAGGGAAATTAAAATAAAAAAATATATATATAATAAGAAAACCAACAAGAACAAGAAAAAAAGTCCTCTACAACCTCAAGGCATTTTATTTCGTCTTTTATTCTTAACGAAATAAAAGCGAATAAGCATTAAGCCGAGAAAGGGAAAAGTTTAATTCGAGAATAAAATGCCTGGGAGGTGAGGCAGCAAGTTTTCGTATCAATTTTCACCTTTATTTCCTCTTAACATTACGCCCAAAATGTCTAAACATTTAGTGTCGCGCGTGGGGGGGGGGGGAGAGTGGGGGATGGGGGGGGG